TTTCCAAAACTTGCCACATCGGGAGCATAAGTACGATTTGGAATAAACTTTCATATTTTTTATATATGAAAAGTGATTCCCGTGGAGATTGAGATAGAGCGTGGAGGGATGCTTTCGATGTGATCTTTGAATGAGTTGTGCGGTGACCTCTTTTTGTTCATTTTCGTCGTTTTCGTCATCATCATGAGAGGTGGACTTTACCAGGGAATAAACATTAATATTAACTTGAAAAAGGGTTTCGAGATCAGGCAGGCTTTCCAGTGTCACACCGTTGAACTCATCGTCTGGATAGGTTTGTTGATACCTGAAAATAATCAAAAAGAATAATCTTAGTCTTTTACACTCGTACAATTTATTACATACAAAATGACACAGACTAGATGAAGAACATTGCATACAAATAAATACAGCATATTGAACCAAATATGACTACAGCAAACGTCAAAATAACTAAACATTGAATACAAAACATAGGTAAACATCCATATATTCTAAGCAAACTTTTCATACAGCTGTTTAAAGTAAATAAAGTTCACTTACCTTGGATAATACCATTTTGTTTCTCTTTCCAAATTTCTTGGATGGCACCCATTGTGAAGTGAAAGTGCACGGAAGAAGCATAGGTTGTCTGAATAGGGATGACCAGTCTTTTTCTCACAGTCTAGAGGCACGATACCGCGGTTTTCGACGATATAATGTGGAAGGCATTTAACACGGCCAATGGGATGACGAGGGATGTTTGTAATGAAAAAAGTGATGTTAGCGATACTATCAACTGTCCACTTGGATGATGGTCGTTATTGACGAGCCCATTCTAAGATATCTAGATTTCGTAATTCGTTTTCAATCGGCTGTAGGTCGCTTTCGTTGACCACTTGGAAAGGTGTTTCAAATACATTATTATTGTTTCTGGATGCATAGTGATATTGTACTTCATCGGTAACAGTGTTTCGTAGTATATATCCAAAGGATATGTTGAGCTTGAAGACGGTGGACTGATCTCTGAAAACTTGGTGGAAATAACTGATAAGATGGTCTGGGTTAAGTGAAGGAAGGCGATAGTTATACCAGTTGGCCAATCGCGTTCTTATTCTTTTCCAGTGTCGATGGTATTCGGTGTTGGTAGGTTGTTGGTCTGGTAAAAGATCGGATATTTTCACAGGATCTTCAGCCACAGGAAACGTTCTGGGCCGATTAGGTTCGCTTGCCGTTCTTGTTTTCTTGCGTTGGGGACCTAGCAAACGAAAAAAAAAATTAAGTGTATTATTCACGAGTTCACTTGACCAAAAATTAATTTAGCTTGATTCCTTTTTGAGACAGCTAATCCATCATATGCTTACACACGAGACACTATTGTTTACACACTGGAAATGAATCGCTTATCAACGTGAATAATTACAAAAGTCGCTCAACTTTGACATATTTTTATACTTCCCACATAACGCAACATAATGATTATGCGTGTTTTAAAAATAGCAAAAAATTTATCAACATACCTGTGGAATCATCGCTTGTCAGCTTTCTCTTCTTTTTTTGATTGGAGTGTTCTTTTACGTGTGCATTGAAGGTATTTTTCTCCGAGAAGGTTTTATTACACTTCCCACATTTGAATTCTTTTTTCGTGTTGTGCTTCGAGTGGACGGTTTTCAGATGTTTTGATAGGTCTGAATTTCTCTTGAAACCTTTAAGGCAGTGTGGACACTTGTGGCTTTTCTCCTTGTCGTGTTCCCGCTGGTGGCGCTTGAAAGTCTTTTTATTCGTGAACGTTTTCTGGCATTTTGAACATTGATAGGAGCTGGTTTGGTCAGTTTGCTGTCCACCTCCACTCTGAGTCGTAGATCGATTCTGTAAAAATAAAAAATGTGTCTTTAGACTTAAGATATTAAAGTTATTCAAATGTAGGGTTTTTTTGCACTGAGCTCATTCGCTTGAGAAGTAAAATCAAATATATTATGGAAAAACCGACGAAGAAGATAGCACATCAAAACAAATATTGCCTACCTCATCTGGAAACATTAAAGCCATCATTCGATCCACGACCGCTGGAATTTGATCACTTGGGATCTCGTTTAAATAGTATTGCTCGAAATCCTGTAGATTGGTAAACTGATCCATTTCGAAATTTTCAAGTTGAAGACATTGCTCGGATGAAAAGTGGACGCCTTCACCAAGCTCGTCTAATTTAATAGACTTTTTTCATTCTACAAACAATAAAACTTGCCTAGACATGCTGGGTTGGGCAATCGCTACTCCACCCTCTTCATAGGCTATACATTTGACACAAAACACGTGCACAAACATCTCACACCCAATATTTGTATAGCTTTTGCCGAGTCACGATGTCTTGACAGTTCTATTCCCGCCTTCTAGCGTAGAAGCTATCAAAATGATAATTTTCTTAACACTCGCTCCCGCCATTTCGATAATCTATGAAAATGTTATGAATTGACGTCATTTCCTATCAGTTCGAGACCAATCAGGACCGCGAACGGGTCAGGCGCAGTGCAAATAAACTTTCACGTCATTTCCTGATTATCGTATCGACCAATCAGAATCGTCACGTTCAGGCGCGATGCAAATAAACTTTCGCGTCATTTCCTGCTGATCGTATCGACCAATCAGATCGACTTCCGCCTTAGGATCCTAGCCACTGGTGACGTCAGTGGGGGCCGAGAAAAAGGGGCCGAGAAAAGGGGCTAATTCCATGCTTAATACACTACTAGTACTGAATCTGCTCTCATAAAAGTGAAGAATGACATACTGATGTATATTGCAGAACAAAAGGTCACACTCTTAGTACTACACCTTTTGCTGTTCATTAACCGCAAAGGAATATTCATTGAAGCGAAGAATCATTGTCATTAGAGCGAACAGGCATACAATAAGGCGAACGGAGTCTCAATAGTGCGATGGAACKTTCATTAAGAAATTTAGCATTGAATTTGACAATCATGAATATGTTTGCGTGGGTTCATTAACGTTTTCAAACTTTCATTAGCGTTTTGGTGCAGACAAT